CAAGGTGGAGTAGGGATGCTTGAGACAATTGTGAAGGCAGGTGTTTGGCTTCAGTATACTGTACTGTATGTAGCTAGTTTCACAATAATGGTAATTAGGTAGAGCTGTGTATGATTGACTGTTGCTATCCCTCCTCATAACTACCACATTTAAGGGTTAAGTGAGTTCAAACTTCCATTATCTCATTGCAAAAGGGAACCGTGCTTATTAAAGTGAAGATTGAAAACTGGTTGTGCAACATTAAATTGTTAGTTCAATGCATCACTGTCCTTGTGTAAAAGACAATTCTACTTGGTTTCAATAGTAAACTGATTCTGCGCTTGTTGACTTAGATGACTTATTTATTTAAGGGGATCCATGGAGACTTGAGTGAATATGAAGTTGAGTATGCAGTCTTTACTGAGAGGGGACCATCCTTAGATCTAAGATCCTGTAGGATGTCTGAAAGAGAAGGATTGACCACTTATATATGTGAAAAACTGGTGTCACATTACCAGTGAATCGGCTGGTACTGAGCCTGCTAGTGTGGGTATCTGCTACAAAAATGATGTTATAATGATGCATTTCTGAAAATGAGTATTCTACACAATGTTATTGTATTGCTTATACACAACACAAGAAAATATTGTAGGATATAAAGCAAACAAAATTTAGGTTGATAAAGACTGTCTGAGACCGATTTTCCAGATTCATGTGAGCTATTAACTGTTCTTGTAAGGATAACTTTCAAGGAATTTTCTTACTGCTTTCCCAGTCTTGGCCGCACTCTAATTGGCATTTAAGAGTTATTTCATCAGTTATGTTGTTTCATAGCTCTTGGCTATGCAGATTAAAAAAACTGATGACTTTTCATTTTCCAGCATTGAGGTCTGAATGTAATTACAATCTGACTTGCTTTTGTCGTGCAGCAAGTTTCTTATATCCCACAGCAATAATATGACAACTGCCATAACAGGTTATTGCCATAACATATGGAAATTGTTAACAGTTCTTTACAATCCTGAATCTTTAATGTATTCCTACTTTTATGCGACAAATTGTTTAGGTCACTTCATGTAAGAAAATAAGGTGGTACTGCTGATACAAGAGATTTAAACACTGATGCGAAGCTAGAGAAGAGATGATATCATAAAAAATGATGTATCCTGTTAAGCATGTGGCTACAATCACTTTGCCCATGAATAGACACCCTGTAGATATCAAAAGAAGTCCAAAAGAATCAAAGTATATGAGAATGATAGGACTGATTTAATATTTATTGTCTTACATGAAATCTTAAATAAATGTGTAGAACTTAATTATTTTTATTGTATTTAAATATTTTTTCTTAAATATAAAAAAAACTGCATGACATACTCACTATAAAAATAGTTTTTGACACCTGTGGAAGGAATTACAGAATGAGGGAAGCTGCAAAACTGAAGTTTCTAAGCTGCCTGACAAGTCAGAGCAAACACCTGGCATTCCCCAGAGGTGCCGATAAGGACTGAGCCCACAGGGTGTTTATACAGGACACAGCTGAAAGTTTCAGCATGGGAGGACATTACTAATTTGGATGACACTTTTATCGAAAGCCATTTGTGCCCATTTACAGCATACACCTCTGTATTTTACTGGAACAATTTGAGTGAAGCACCTTGCTCAAGGCTCCAAGGGCGGTGTCTTATGTAGGATTTGACCACATAGCCTTCCAGGTCTATGTCCAGAATCGTAACTGTTGCTCCACACTGCTGCCTGTAGATATGCTTCTGATTTGCTGCTTTCAGATTGGGGACATGCAATAGAGCCACTCGGTTTTTTGGCAAGGTCTGACAACCACAAATCTCTGGCTCTCCCTCCAAGTCCCAGTTGATGCTTCACTGGATTTTTGGAACTGAATGTAAGAGATCTCGTCAAAAGTGACAGATTAAGGTTAAGGTTATTCCTCATTGTTTTGTCTTACTTCCTTAATCCTCAATGTTTTTTTTTCATTTCCTGCCATTGATCCCAACTTTAGAAAAAGGAACCATACAAAAGCTTCCTCATACATCAAGGCCTTTTCTTCTCTAGATTATATAAATGTTTAAACACCTGTGTAGCAAAATGTCACCACATCTCCCAAAAGAACAATAACTGACATGGCTGTTGTTCTACAGATCTGTTGTTTTTTGTTTTAGCAAATATTTGTCCTGAAGGCATTTCCTTCTGCATCCAATTTCTACCGAGTGGGAAGGCAGTCCTTTGGGTGAGTGTTTAAGGGGGAAAAAAAATTAAAAGACTTTGAACATCTCTTACTAAAAGCGCAGAACTATTCTAAACAAATCTGGCTTGCTATTTATGTGTGGCGAGTTGTTCCCACAAGCGTTCATTAGGGAATCAATGTGAAACATGAAAAACAAGGGTCACATCATCATAATTTCTTGCATTGAGATAGCGTCTTTCATCCCCAAAGATCCCAAATTGTTTTACATGTAGGAGGGGACTCACTGTGTCCACCATTGAAGTGCAACACCCATCCGGGTGACACACAGCAGCCATTGTGCGCCAGGACTACTGCACAGAAGGTTAGGTAGAGAAGTAAGCACTGCACCCAGTACAAGTACTTACAACTACTTTCATGTCAAATACAAGTGAAGTACAACTGCTTCACCAATTGAGTAAAGGGGCAAGTTTAAGAAGGCCATATTGTTCCAGCCCAGAATGGAATTTTGCTGGGATACCTGAGTTCAAACCCCAATAATGAACAGTGTGCTGAGATCTTCAATGACCATGACTCTCTCAATTATTGTCACCTCCTCTAACACCGTGCCTCCAGTCACTCACTTGGGCAATGGTTTGGAATGCCTGTTGCCAGAAGAAAAAAAAGCCACCTACTGATGTGTGAACACCACACAGCAAGTATCAAACTAGTTTCTTTAGAGGTCTGTCATCTGAGATCTAACAGGGTTCAGTCTTGTTTAGCTGTGGGTATATGTTGAGATAAGGCTGCAAACTAAATGCAAATTAACTTTATGTGAACTGATGTAAATATGTCTCACAGTATTGTAGGCAGATGAGTTTGTAATCTCATCATGATAGCCTGACCATTTTTAATAGAAACTTGTGCAGCTTTTGCTACTGTCCAAAATATTTGATTATGGTGGTGGAATGAGCTGAATTATTAACTAGTAGCACTGTTTATATTTTGATAAATTTGCGTTCTTTCTTTAAATTTAGGGCAGCACATATTTAGTTATATCCTAGAACTGTCAATGCCAGTGGTATGTGTGTTACATACACAATCTATCACTACAGATTTCACATACTGTATTTATTGAAATATTAAGGAATTGTGTTACTCTGGTTACACACTGTATATATGTTACTATGCAAATGTATCGTTAATGGTATTGTCACATTAAGGTGAACCCTCTGGGCGAGGAATGTTCCTGCCTCGTGCACGACTACGCCACCTAGCAAATCGGACAGGGTGCTAGGCCCCCCTTATTTCTCCACAGGTTCGGTCTATCTCACCAGAATAACCAATGCACTCACAGACCAGCAAATAGTCATTAGTATCAGTTAAGTTTCCTTTTTATTTTCTACAGACATCAACTCAATCTGTTATTCTAAGAAGCATAAAAAAGTAACATCCACAACAACAAGAGAATAGTTCAAAGGGGCACAATGAAATCCAGAGGGACAGCAGTCCTTTTTTTTTGTAAAGTACTGAAGGGAGGCTACTCCCACTGTTCTTCTTAATATCGGTGGAAGTCGTTGATGGCTTGTAGACGAACAACCACTTTAAGGAGAGGGGTATCACCCAGTTCAATTTCCCGATCTCCGTTCAGGTTACACTCGAAGTCCTCCCACGAGCTCTTCTCTGTTTCTGCTCTGTTTGTATCCGTTAGCTGGGCCGGGTTCTTTGTCCTTTGCCTTCAGGTATTAAAAAGTCTCTGTACAGTACCTTTGTTACAATGCCAATGTGGCCCTGTAGTTGTCACTTCCTGGATTAATAGGTCCTTGCCTCCGTGGTCTCCCACTCTGCAGCTTCACTGGCGCTGCCTGTGTCGTCTCCTTGGTCCAGTGGGAGTGCCGAGGCCCCTCTGTCCTGTCTCAGGTGTTTTTATCCCTCTGCTTAGCCAATCCCTTTCAGGGGATTTTCCACAGTCCCTGGAAGAATCGGGTTTGCCCAGTATTTTTCCAGGAGGAAGCTTGTGTTGATGGAGGACTGTGGAGGTGCCGAGCTAGGTGTCATGGGACCTTACCAGTTCACTGTTCACTCTCCGGCTCTCTCTCCTCCTCCCTTTGTCTGGCTAAACTGGCTCAACAACTCATCACACCTCCAAGTCTCGATACCTAATTGTTCCTATTCATTGGGACAACTGCAGTCGGGGCGATTGTTGTCAACATTGGTGAGAGGCAACAATGTTGCCTCTCACCCTCCCCACCGAGTGAGAGGCAACATTGACACCAACCTGGAAATCAACATAATCTAATCACTCCCAGCCTTTTACTGCCTCAGTGGACCACATCCTGCAACACTATCCCGGAAACTCAGCAAGTACAAACATGAATACTCATAAAGATTTCTGTCAAGTGCAATGATACAGATGATTAAACTTTAATTTCTGTTAATTTAGTGCGTTTTGCCATTATTTCTTTATTAGAATTTTTACAACTAAATTCTGTTGTTATACATACAGTCAAACATTATTTAATACCCATAAATTATCAAAGTGTTTTTTGTTCTGCATCAGCAAACTAAATATAGCCCGACTGAGCTGTGGGACAAGCACATTGAAACAAAACAAGATTGTATTGAAAAGAAGCACTGAAGGCATATGGCTCCACAGCCATTGCTTTTGCAGTGAAGGCATTTACGATTTTTTCGGATTTTAGTCTGCCCATGTTATACATATTTACAAAATATATAACTCTTATAATTATTAAGAGACATGTATTGAAGACGAACTTAGTAGTAGCAAAATGCAAGTAAAAAAACAATAACATAATAAGGAAGGGTAGCAATAATAAAATGGTTTTGGTTTTCCTTGGTATTCTTATTGTTTTACAATTCTGTGATGACTTTTGAAAAACAACTCACTGACGTTCTCCTTCTAAAAAATCGAATAAACTTCAGAAAAACGAAAAAAAAAAAACACAACAAACGACGTTAGAGATTCGTGGATCCGTTACTTTTGTGGGATGTCAGCACAATACCTCCAAATGTGCTTAATAAAACATCAGGAATTAAGACAAAAATATTTTTGATAGTCAACCTTCTGTGCCAACCACAAGGTTCGCCAACTGCAGTTTTACTAACCCGGGGCTCTGGTGTGTGAGTAGGAAGGGGACCGACAGACGTGGCGGGCAACCAATTGGCTGCTAGACTTAAACGAGAATCCTGTTCTCTGCAGCAATTGAAACAGAGCAGGGGAGGGACTTTGCTTCTCAGATCCCGATTCAATCAGTCCAGTTTCAATTAGTTACAGAGCTAAAGCACAAAAGAACGGGCAAATAACAGATATTTTGCAACAGAAATGGTACGGCTTGAGGCTATGCGCCGCACGCAGGCGGTCGTTTTTCAAGGATGAGTTGAAGAGACTCCGCGTTGGAAGCTGATGTACGTAGCCATAATAAACATTCTTTCTACATTAAGCGATTGGTCTTGATCCGTTTTCATATATTTGACTCTCGGCTGTGCAGAAGGGGCAGCAAATTGCTGGTAAGGAGGGCGCTAATGTATCTTGAAGACAGGCCTTTTTAGTCTTTTCTTAAGAAACCAGCAGCAACTTGCACTTTAATGGATGCATTCTTGTTTTATTTTCATGTTGAATGAGGAGCCTTGCGCACTGCAGTAAACCAGTCGCTTTGCATTGTATTTGGATGGTAAATCTGGCGTTGAATAAGCATTTCTGGATTATCTAACCTGCGGGCTTTCGAATTTTTCATGTGGAGACGCGCTGTGCCCCCACCTTAAACATAACATGCTTTAAATATTGAAAGCAGAATTGGAATGTAACGGCCCGCCTTTTGATTTCATAAATGAAAAGCAAACACTATCAACAATTTAAGTTTGCACCTTGGGAAAAGGATGCAAGCTTCGGGAGAAAGCTCAAAACCTACCGAAATCGCACCAAAATAATTGCTCATCCAGGTCTCGTGATGAAAGTATTACGCAGAAAAAGGATTGTTTTGTTTATAGCCTACTTTTTACTGCTCATTTTAACCATGCTGAACCTGGCGAACTACAAATGGACTAAAGAACCGCAGCAGTGCAACCACCAGATGAGAAGCACTCCGTATCAGAGCAGATCCGATATCCGCTTTTTGTACAGACCATCCGTGGTGAAGAAGAGACAGCTCGTCTATGTCCTCACTACTTGGCGGTCTGGATCTTCTTTTTTTGGAGAACTGTTTAACCAAAACCCAGAGGTTTTCTTCTTGTACGAGCCCATGTGGCACATCTGGCAGAAATTGTACCCGGGGGATGCGGTTTCTCTACAAGGGGCAGCCAGGGATATGCTTAGCTCCCTGTACCGGTGTGATCTTTCCGTTTTTCAGCTGTACAACACTCCCGGGGGCAAGAATGTTACTTCTCTCGGGCTTTTCGGTGCAACCCTCAACAAGGTAATCTGCTCTTATCCTCTTTGTTCCGCATTTAGGAAGGATGTCGTGGGCATGGTGGACGACAAAGTGTGTAAAAAGTGCCCCCCGCAGAGCCTGAGGATACTAGAGGACGAGTGCCTCAAGTATAGTACTGTGGTGATAAAGGGGGTACGCATTTTGGATGTCAATGTCTTGGCACCACTGATGGAAGACCCCTCTTTAGATCTGAAGGTGATTCACCTGGTCAGAGATCCGAGGGCGGTGGCAAATTCGAGGATCAAATCGAGGCACGGGTTGATCCGTGAAAATTTACAAGTGGTGAGGAGCAGGGACCCCAAACTTCGTAGGATACCATTTGTGGACCCCAATCACAAAGTAAACAAAAAAGAAGGGTCCGATTACCACTCGATCGGGGCGATGGAAGTTATTTGCGATCGGACCTCCAAGACATTACGAACTGCTTTGAACCCACCCCACTGGCTCAAGGGGAAATATATGACAGTGCGTTATGAAGATTTAGTTGAAGATCCCGTTAAAACGGTTCGGAATGTTTACCGTTTTGTAAATCTGTCTGCTAACCACGACATAGAGTCGTTTGCCCTCAACATGACGAGCGGTACTAGCTCATCTTCAAAGCCATTCATCGTTTCCTCTAGGAATGCCACACAGGCGGCCAGTGCATGGAGAACTGTGTTAAGTTTTCAACAGATAAAACAAGTGGAGGACTACTGTCATCATTCAATGGCCATGCTAGGGTACGAACGTGTAAGAACAGCTGGAGAGGTAAAAGACCTGAGCAAATCTTTACTGACAGTTCCCAGGCTGTGAACACAAATCCACCAAAGACAATGCGGTGCATAGACGTTTTAAGTTTAACAGAGCACTGCTGTTCGTGGAACTCAAAAATTGAAGCTTTATTTAAAAAATAAACCGTTAAATGCATCTGCGAATCACACGGGAATGTATTTTTTTTTAACTCAAGAACTGCGGTGTTATGGGACCACTACGCATTTAGTTTGACAGTGAGAACCCTGTTTAAATGGTAACTTTAGTCTTAAAATCACAATATTTGTTTGAAATACAGGAAAATGATCAGATATGTACTGTATGTATGTTATTAGCACTAAGGAGTGGATGTTTTGGTTCACCCTTAAAACCGCTTTCTTTAAATGTTTCAAAATTTTGCCCGAAACACAAAACAAAACAAATGACTATCGGTAGGTTTTACATCCATACCGTCTGTAATAGTGCAAGTTGTGAAAGAATTGTTTGAATACAAAAAAGATAAAGTTTTCAGCTGTTTGTTTCTATTTGTAAGTACGCCGGGTCACTCCTAACAGAGACAATCATTAAAGCCGTCTGCAATTATTTTGTTGTGCAATAACTTGGCCTTAAGACGTGCGTTTCTTAGTGTGCATCCAGATCAGAGTCATGGCAAGTTGAATCCGTTTTTTATGCTTGTTAAGATACATTATAAATGGAAAAAAAAACAATATGAAAACGTTTTTAAAATATTGTAATAGTAAATAATATTCCATGTCGTCCCTCCCATTTCGGTTTTCCGTTTTTGTATTTTTGTAGTCGAGTCAGTTTATTCCTTCACGTTCCTGTCAAATGCGCTTTGTTTTTTTCGACAAATACATTACGTTTGCAATCGTTAGTAAAGTTGCTTCTTTTTAGGCTATGAGATATCAAACCAATTTTAAAATGCTTTGCGTTTTTATCCCTTGGGAAGCTAATTTTAAAAAGCCCATAACCGAAAAGAAACCAATGAGTGTAAAGCTTATCGAATAAGAGCGATTATTCATAAATGTAAGCAGATGCGTTTTGACGTTGAAAAAGGCTCCTGTTAAATCGGACAAATATACTTAATAGTAGTAGATCTATGTATTTTAATACATGTATAAGATCGCATAGCAACATTTTTTTTACCTTGGTTTACTAATTTTTATGTTACTCGTTCCCAAGAATTCCAACCACGCCATACACTTAATAAAGAATCCTAAAACGGGGTCTTTTTAGTAACTCATCTGAAAGACGTGTTGTTTTTTTTTGGGGGGACTCGAAATTTAAATGAGAATCTTTTTGATATAAACCTCCTTTTAAAACACATGAAAATACAACAGGTCTTGTAGTGCTGTGTTGCACTGGTATAATGAGACATGCCAAAAGCAATGCGCCGTGGAATGAACATACACAAGAAATTTAACTATTGGTGTTGTTAATGTGAGTGTGTTGTGACAGGCATTGGAGAAGTTTATTCCTTTTTTTTACTTCTGCTTGTTCAGCACAGATAATACTGCTCTCCATCTTGCCTCTTTATAAATAAAACTAATTTGGTGAGACGGTGCTGCTTTTCTGGTGTTTGTGACATACGTGAACTGGAATGCAGGATACTGCTTGTGTGCTGTACTTTTTTAAACGTGCAGGCCAGGGCGTTAAGAGCTCACTGTGAAGGATCTCGGAAATACACGTTTAACGTGATAGAACAAGTAGGGGCTGTGCTCTTGAGTCAGTTGTTCTAGTAGTTTTAACTGCAGATAATGTTCTGCATTATATTATTAACAGTCTGCATGTATGTACTTTATCCCACCTCTTTAACCATCTAGATATGTTAATATGAGAAAGATGCAGGGAATGCAATTTGCACAGTAATGTGGTACATCAACAGCCTGCTGTGGTATGCATGTTGAATTGCCTGTGACATATCACAACAAAGCATGGATTTTGCATGTAAAAAGCATGATCCTTAAGAACCACTCTTTGGTGTGTAATGTTTCCAGTAACATTAATTAGGCTGTTGTGACAATTAGGTCAAGCAGAGCTTGACTTTGAACACTGCTGCCAGTGTATACATCTTTATTAGCCACCAATCCGTTTAAAAGCAATTACTAAACCCTCTTAACGTTTTGTCTGCCAGCTCACTGGGCTGGGCAGAGGCAGATGAGCTCTAGGGTAGCATTCCTTGAATGAGAAATTAGGACATCTCTTATTTCTACACAAGTGGTGGTATCAGGAATCTGTAACTTGCTTGTCATCTGGCTTTCTCATGTGACTGTTGAGGAGGAGTTATGACAGACAATGCAAGGTTTTGCCTTTTTTTCTGGATCACAAAGGCTGTTCCACAGTTGGATAAGCAGCTGCATAATTATGCATGTAAACAAGCACTTTAAGTACCTGAGGATTGTTTTTAATAACAAACTGCAGTACTATACAGAGGTATGGCCCAGAAAAAAATCTTTATAAGAAAAAAAACAAATATTTCAGAGGGTTGTTAAATATTTCAGAGGGTAGAGGCCAGGGTTACAGTTTTTCACAGGAATGTTTCACAGAAAGCTCTTGGTGACAGTTATTTAAATTGTGTATCACACCCTTCACAGGATGTTCACTTGTCTCTAAGATAAAAGCAGAATTCACCGTGACATTAAAACTCTTCCTCCCCACCCTTTAGCATAGGTGAGTTTTTAATCTTTTCCTGAAATAGATATAAGATGCTACAATGTCATATCAGACAGACTCCAGACTCTCATACAATCCTATCACATTCTGCACCTCCTTTGTTCTTTACCAATTACAGTCTAGTGCTGTGAGGCCGTTCCATACAGTGCATCAGAATGCAAATGTACTTGTTTTTACATTATTGGGTCACATTTCCTTTTGTTCCCATTTTGGTGTTATGACACTTGCCTTCAAATCAGCATACAAATTAAATATTTACCTTTAACAAGGAACACAAGACAACTGGGAGTGTATGGATGTACTGTAAGTCACATTGTACAGCTCTGATTTCAGGACTGCATGCACAGAGTGACGGAATACATTCCCATGCTGCATACTCATTGTATATAATGCCATAAAAGTACATGTGCTTAATGTACCAAAATAAATATTTAGAAATGTATTTATTGAAATACATATTTTGATTATTCAGTACAGCATCTGAAAAAATAAACAAGATTAAAAGTATTCTATTACAAAAACATTTTTTACCCTCTTGTATAAACTTCTAAGGCAAAATCAGTTACAGTTCTGCAGGTTTTTCCTATTAAATGACAAAATGTGTATTTTGTAGATTCATGAAGAGGTCATTAATTGAAAAATTCAAAAGTAAAACCGGCTTGTGCTCTTTGTGCCTGAAGAGAAACACTGGCAGGATTTCAAAATAACAACCAAAGTTAAAAAACAAACAGGATTTTTAATTTCAAGTGCTCATGCTTTGCCTGCTCCAGGGGCGCCGTACAATGGCAGACCCTGCGCTCTGACCCCAAGCTTTTCTCCCTGTCTGTGTGTCTGTGTCTCCATGGAGAAAAGGCTGGGGTATGCGAAAAGACGAATTCCTAATGCAAGAAATTGTATAGGGCTAATAAAGAAACATTATTATTAAAAAACATTATAACTTATAATTTAAGAAAGTACCAAGAAAACATTTTAAAAAGCATGTTAAAAAACTTTACATTTCCATACATGTTTTTAGAACTTCAATTCTAAAAACTTTATATAATAATAAAACTTTTTGCTTTCTGGTGTCAAAAACCAGTTTTATTTTTTTTGAAAATCTGTACCTGAGTAAGGTGTTTTGGTATGGGTTAAAACATGTTTATCTGCTTGATTCTGTTTTGACTTGAGAACGTCAGACATGTATTTCACATTTAAGTCAATGAAAATGTTAAACACAAGAGGCTAGATTCTGCTAAAATCACGTAATTCTCTATTATTCACTGTAGTATGTTTTGCACCTTGATCGGCAGACAACAAAATGAATGGAACTGACAACGGCAGTCACCATTTTACAAGTTGGTTGACATAAGAAACCAAACAGAAGGTGATAATCTGTTTTTTTTTATAATTAGGAATAACGTTTAATGGGGGAAACAATGTTTAATGTGAAATGTTCTGGGTTGGTAACTTTACCATGGGCATTTTTATGTTTCTTCTCCAACGTAGTACCTCTTGAGAGAAAAGAGATTTGAAGCTGAGATGATATACTGTAGCACATTTCCATTGTGGTATGCCATAGGAAAGACCAAAGAACATTGTGCACTTAAAGCATGAAATTTAAATTTTGAATACAGGCTACAAAAGATAATATAACAAGAATAGCATAAAAAAAATTTCACAAGAAAGAATTGATGAGGATTTAACAGAGCAACAATATGAAGGGAATTATTCAATTCTGGATTTAGTAACCTTAATGCAAATACTTTCCTAATACAGTACATTGACTGCTGTGAGCCTGAATGCATACATTGTGTGTATGCATGTTGCATGTCTCAAATTTGGAATAATCAGCACTGACTAGACAAATCTGTGACCCCTCCCAGCCCTAAATCGCCCTCCAGCATGTTTTCAAGACTTGTGGATGCTGAGATCTTCTCGGTATCAGTATTTCTTTTCTGGTCAGGAGAAGCTGGCATGCCTTTATTTTCCCCATTCAGCCCAACAGAGCTGAAGTCTGTCTCTGTGTTTTGTAACTGCTCTTGGTTCTGTGTCAAAATGGAAAAGAAAAAATCTTTATGCAGACTTTCAAGTATAGTTAATATTGAAACAATTAACTCTGATTCAGCACACTTATGTAGAGAAAAACGTTATGTGAACATTTATGTTATGCAAACATGGTGAGAAACTGGCACGCCATCACAATGCCTTAATATGGTTATCATTTTTATAATTCCTTAGGGATCTTAAGGATGTCTGTTTCAGTACTCTGAGGTGTTCTGAAGGCTGTTTGGAAATTACAGACAAATAAGTTAGCTGCCACTCAAAATAATCACTCAAGTTTGATTCTAGACCATATGGCCGGTGAGTGCTAAATTTTTTGTTATGAATTAACAAACCAAAAATCCACTTTTAGACTAATCACTGACTAAAACATATAGAAGATATACTGATATAAATGTATAAAATGTGCTTTTTTAATACATAGAGTCTTCTGAAATCCTAAAGTGATTTGGAGCCCTGCTCTATCTCATTTTCCACACAGAAAGGCACCTTCTTTCTGTTGTAGGTGTTACTTATTCTAGGTTGTGTCTTTAGAAGGTATTAAATTAAGGAAGAACACAATGCGATGGATGAAGATCTTACCTCATATGCGTGTGGGCTGGTCAGGAGTTTTGCAAGAGGTCCACACCACAGGGGCAGAGTGGAGGTCAGAGGAGGTCCAGAGTGGGTCAGCAGTGGCTTCAGATATCTATTGCTCTGTTAAGATTTTTTTAAATTAAATGCACTGTCTGGAGCTGTCAGGATTTTTGATAGGCATTCTAAACAGATCCTACTAGTTGATCAATTCCTAATGAACAGACGCAGGTAAGAATGACACTATCGGACATGCCAAGAGTGAATGGTTTTGCTTCAGTGCAACTGAATGATTGCAGCATCTAAATTTGGAAATTTCTCCAGGTTTAATACCAATTACAAATCCTATTTGACCTTTAAGAGCTGAAAGCAAATGTACAAATATGTTCTCAATAGAAAACTGAAATGATTTAGCCAGTGATTAAGAGCTCAGCCAGAGCAAAAACCAGAGAACAAAGTGTTCTTCCAGGACTAGGGCTAGAAAACTACGGTTCTGTATGTTGTTGTTGGTTGATGTTTTCTTCCTGTTATCCAGACTTATTATAACAAATTACTACGTGAACAAGGGTACCTGATTAAGGTTAGATAATGTTTTGATGAAAGATCCAAAGATGGAACAACTTGCCTGATAACGAGGTTAAAAAAATAAACACCACGTTAAAAAAAAAAATCTCTCTACGATGCTTACAGTACATAGAAGAATTATCAAGAAAAACTGAAAATTCTAAGTATTTCTGAAATGTTACTTGTTGATGCCATTATTTTTTAGTATTAGTATACCCTATTTATAATATGCGCAGAGCAGTACAGGTTAAAACTATAAGAGAGATGGACAATATTGAAATTAGTTTATTTTTCAAATTAATATTTGAAAGCCTTTGACCTTGACTCTTAAGGTCTCACATCAGTAGTTTTAATTCTGTGCTGCTGAGCATAGGTAGTAAACATTTCATGAAACACTGATTCCTTGGGATTCTTCAAAAAATGTTTGTATGAGATCCACAGAGCAGTAAGCTACCAATAACCAAATAACCAAGATATGCATCCTCTGCTTTGTCCCTATTCTATCTAAAGTACTTATTCTCAGGAATGTTTGACCTCTTATCTTCTAATGATTCAAACTACTTTTGATTTTACTGGCAGGACCTCTAATTAAAAGATCAGATCGTCTGAGTGTTTCTTGGAGAAAAACTCCAAATTCTAAACTGTTAGCTTTTGTTAAATTTTTATTGTATTCTTCAGAGTTATACTATTCATGCCAATTAAAGTTCTGAAGAAGGAAACCTGAAGTATAAAGAAAAATATTATTTCTGTAACTGAGACTTAAAAAACTACAAAAATATTTGTTGAATTGAGGGAGTGAAAGTACCACAATTTCTGTTATAACTGAGGTAGCTGGGCTTCCTCTAGAGAAACAAAACATAATAAAGAAAAAAGAAAGAAGAATGAAAAAATAGGAAGTATCCATCCATGGGAAGATGAATGAATGCAGAGTCAAAAAATAAAAGACAGAATCATGTATAGTAAAGTAAAATAAGCAACAGATTTTCAACCTGATCATGAAAGTTTAAAGGCAGGGTTTTGGGTCAACAAAACCTGATTGTCTAAAAACACAATGTAATTATATCTGGTGTAAGTAAAGTAGTTTTGATTTCATGCCTTCAGCTTTTAACACTGTTTCATAAAGGCTGATTAAAATGAGATGTTTTAAATTACTGATTCTACCCTATCCATGTGCAATTTAATATAAATGACATAATCTGACCTGGATCAATGACATATTATCAGTCTTTTACAATCAACATTACAATATGTTTATATGTGCTCTCAGCAAGCCTTTATTGACATTATAGATTTATTTACCAAGTCGCTTATCTTGTAACCTAGCTGTCGAATAGGCAGATGCTAAACCTTACTGAATGTGCTGATGCTGAATAAATCTTGTATGTTAATTCACTGTAAATTTTCATAGGGGCAGCAATGAAAGAGAGGGATCAGTGAAAGCGACCACAGAAAAACGTCTTGCAGTGTATAAGAATGAGGGTGAGCAAGAAAGCACATTATTCCTGCAGATTTTTTTTCATTTTAGTCTGTGGCATTTTATTGAACAAATATTCTGTTAGTTTATTAGCTAATGTTAGCTATGGAACTGTATGACATCCCGAAACATAGAAAAGTAATAGTTTTGCCATTCGACTTTCAGTTTGGAATAGTGAATATTCTTAATCCAATTAGCACTGATAAGAGACAGCCTGTGGTTCTGTGTTACACAGTACACCAGCCATAAGAGTGTGACTTTAATCTGTGTACATTTTTATAACAGATAGTAATGCAGTACAGGAAGTCATGCTGACGCTACTACATGAGTCAAAGACATTATGTCTCCAAGAAATGTGTGTGGAGAGGATGGGGGCTTAGGGTACTGTTCAAGTGATACAGTAAAGAAAAAATACGACTTGCATGTTATATGAAGTAAGTATTCAATGAGTTAGCTGACACCTTCCAAGGACAAGGAAACTCACTTTCTACATGTTTTTGTGTATTTTTATATAAGTGTATAACTTATTTTTATATCTAGAAAAGTTAGAAACACCAAGTGTATCGATTTGGCTTTAAGGCATACCACAGGAGAGAACGAGACATGCATCCCTGACTCCCTCCTGCCATCAGGTACACTGCAGGCTCCACAGTGGCTGACAGGAGAGTCACTGTGGATCATTGCTGACATCACTGCAAGCCTGCAGGTGCCCAGCAAGTCGCAGTGTCATAGTGCACTACTGCTGAAGAAACTTGGTCACAGCTGGTCAGTGACATGACCCAGAATGGATGACCAAATGTATCTACACTAAATTATGGATTAATCGCTGTTTTCATTTCACAACACTAGGCCACTCATGGATTCTGGTTATACAATCCCTATCCATGGACGTCACTGCTGACATCCTAGACAATCACGATGCATGACTTGCCCTTCTGGACGACAGATTTAATGACTGAAACATTTTAGCGAAGCACAAACAATAACACTACAGTGACATTTACAACCATTTAGATTCTTGTTTGTATGGAAAGTGCAGAGAACAAAGCACAATGATTAAGTTACCATGGTATCCTGGAGCTCATATTCTCTTCTGCCTGGGGCAGAACATCATTTCCTCATCACTTGTGCAGTTAAACATATCGGCAGCTGAGAAATCACTTGGGTTCGACCAAAGCACTGCCAAGATTTTGTTGCATAGGCTAAAATATTTTAGATAATGGGCTAATTGAATAAACTTTCTTTAGATTCAGAGAAAAACTGTGAAAAGCGTTCTTCCTAGCAGCGAGTCATCCACCCAAGGTAGCAGTATTCCCAAATGAATGGTATGAAAGACAAGTGATCAACAGTTACACTATTTGTACTGCTGACAAGTATACAACAGCGCAGTCGAGGCTGTAATTATGGATATCCTTGCAGAAAAAGAAACTGTTAGACTAAAGGCTGTTAAACTGAAGGCTGAAATCTACTTGCTTCAGTCAGTTCAGTGCCTTATATACATAGATTGACCTCTACAGTCTTCTCAGGGCTCCATCTCTTCAACGGTGCTACTGGTTGCAATAATTAAAAATAACTTCATCGGCTGCTTTGCTTTATATATAATACTTGTGGCTCTAAGTGTATGTTTATTTTGCAGTCTGGACTAGTCTGGTATGAAAAAATGCTGCAAAGTAGAAGCAATCATCATTTTGGCACTGTCACACATCTACTGTAGCTTAATCTGCAAAAGAATGAGCTCCATTTCAGCTGCAATCAATAAATATCTAAGGGATTTGGGAAGTGGAATATCAGCCACCTTTGTCAGTTTCCAACCCAGCCCTCGTTATATGCCAGTGAAATAGAACTCCTGCCCCTCTTTTTTTCCCGGTTTACTCCTCCCCTCTTTGTTCCCTCTAGGATTCTTTGGAGCTTCTTATTCCAGGAAGCCTACCTGATCTAGATTCTTTCTAGTGTGGGGGAGCTGCAGTTCCAATTTCTCAGACTGGTTATTAAATCTCAGTGAAAAAATAAATGAATTGGTGTTATATAAACTTTTAACAAATTTCGAATTAAGCACAGAATCCTGAACTTTGTGAAAGGACTGTAAGTTGCCATGTTGTTGAAAACCCCTGGTCTCGCCATGAGTGAGAGTGAGAGTTTGTGTGAATTGTGATGTTAAATGGCCCTTCCTGCTCACTAGTCACTGTAATGACCAATGAAATGAGATGTACAAGTGAAGAAGTACAGGTGGAGCAGCAGATATTTTACCACAGAAATGTTCCTATGTGTTATGCACTGAAAGTTAACGAGTTCCATTTATCGGCAAAACCATGTTTCATCGGAATTAAAAGATGAATTTGCAAGCCTGATACTTTACAATGTCATTGGGCCACATCACTCAAAGTTTTGTTGCCTTGTTCTGAGTCGCAGAACATGGTGCTGTGCATACCTGAAAATTTCATTTATTTTGTGATGTAAATTGGACGTTTTACAAGTTACTGTGTACATTTGCACTGTGAAATGCACTCATCAATGTTCATTCTTTCTAAAGCCAAAACATAAAAACACTGTTATATACAAAACAACACAGTTTTACCCGTTGTTTTGTAGCAGAGGAACAATTTACATTTTGAATATTTTTGTCCAGCAACAGATTACAATCTAAAAATATTTGTCCAGCTCAGGAACATTAGGGATTATTCACTTTAGAACATGCAGTATAGTTTCTTCAGATCCTTGGGGGAAAAAAAACCTCACAGTGTTACAGGAAATAAAGTGGGTCAAATCCCATGTTCAACACTTTTGCACAGCTTTAATTTTTTCAGAGTGAAAAACAGGAATGAATAGCTCAATTCCCCCTTAATTTGTTTCTCTTGCAGCAGGCACACAGAATACCTCTCCTTTTGAAGAGAAGCAATAAAAATCCAAGACAAGCTGCTCTAAACCAATATATTCAACAATATACCTGTCAGTAACCAGGCTACAATTATACACTGACTTATTTCTAGATAAGAATTTTGCACAATTTCCTAAAGTTTCAATATGCAATATTCCTAAAGTTTTCAAAATTATTTCAAATAATTGCTTAATTTCTGTAATAACTGTGACAAACATTTTATTTTCTTGATGGATCCCTAAAGAGGGGGTGTTATGAAAACATACTCTGTATAAGGATTTGAACAGAAGCCCAGAAGACTTCTACACCTTGCTACGGTATGTACATGTGACTCTTACAGTATGTCGCTCAGATTAATTAGCTTTCAGATTTCAGAACAACTTCTTCGGAAAAGGGATAGAAACATACACAAGGCTGTGAAGCAATATTCATTTCAAGAAACTATGAAGTTTACCAGAAGCGTATGAGACAACAGAAACGAAAAAAATCACAGGAACATGAAGACACATGTTTATCTGTTAAATTCAAATGAATTTTAGATTGTAAAAGTCACAATGAAACACATCTCTCTTGCTCACTTACATTGGGGTCTCTAGCTGTGCCAGTGTTTCAAGATTAAAAGCTATAATACTCGCACACCATAATTTACTTTGGTAGGTGTTCCTTCAAATTCTATTTAACCAGAAAAGAAAAACAGAAAAAATAACGAGAGTAAAAGCAATACAGTCCTTATCGGAACTAGAATAAAAATTATAGGGTTGTTTTTTGGGAAATTATGGGTTTATCTGCACAATAGAACAATAGACTATTAGAAGAACCTTCTACAGCAGAATACTGTGCACAAAAGCTGCTGAAATCAAACCTATAATTTAAAAGTTATTACTGACACCTAGGATACATTACCTAACTTTTCTATTTCTGGTTGTTTTAATCTTCTTGATTTTAAGGTTTTATTTTATTTTAAGCTAAGATGGTGTCAAATTTTTGCATGTAGGAGTAACTCTGAAGAATAACTGTGTATAAAATATTCAAAACATAATCAGATGAACAGCTTCCAGTGTATGCCTATATTATATACTGTATTATGAAGGGGTTAAATAAAATCAACATAACCATAAGCCTAAAGTATAAATGTTAGTTCTGAATTTCCTGATAATTGGAAATTGCATGTTTTTAAACAGTTTACATATTCTGCACTAAAGCCTTGGATGTCAGTCCTCTCATTGAACCAGTGCTTGCTGCAGTTACTATGGTAACTCAGGACAAGATGCCCTAGAATATGAATGGGGCCAGACCAACTGGGACAGATGGTGTTAATCAAAACCTTCTGGGAGATGAAAAAAGGGAGAAGTGAACACTTATCTTAAGCCTGTATGTTACCAGAGGAATGAACAGTGGTACATTCTGTTTTCCCCTAAGAAAAAAAACATTGGTTCTATGCAGACAATGGTCTTGGTGCAAATACTTGACCCTCTGTCTTGCTTAACTGAGAAATAATTCACACACATCTGAAAGTTATACTCCCTGTAATATTGGCATCTGTAGTTAAGTGTGGTTTGGGACAGACACGAAATCTTCTTTAAACAAGGTCAGTGGAGGCTTTTTGTACAAGAATATGAAATTTAAGAAAGGGGCTGAGTGCTCGACTATAAGATTCTGACCAAACTGGTATATACTGTATCTGTTCTTGCATTTCCCATCAGATACCGGCTTTCGGATTTATGGGCACCTGTAGTTCCTTCTCTGAGAGGTGGAGGAAGGACAGTAATAGTAATTGCACCTGTAATATAACTGACAAAAATTGATAGCTCCAAACTCCAGTGCTGTGGTGCTCACCAATTTCCCAGGATCACTTATTCATTGGATGTCTAGGGCATTCACTGTTAGCTTGGTAAAGATTTATAAAAAGACAACATATGTTTGAAATTAAAAATCCCCAAATTTACAAAGTATGATAATCTAGCAAAAAAAGACTAATTAACACAGGATAATATATTATTTTTTGCTTCTCTGTTTCTAGAGCAGGTCGTGGCATATGTAATATAGAAAGGAGGGCACATGACAAGAATGGTTATATACTGCAGGTTAGTCAGAAGCAGAGAAATACCACTAATTTTTCTTCTTTAAAACTGAAATATGCCTTTTTTTCTTACCACTCAATTAGCACTGAATGGGATAATATGTTGTCCTTGTCATTAAAAATGCATGACATTTCTGCAGAATATAAGACATAATTTCTAGGTAATTTGAATTTTTCATCGCAGTTCAAGCAGATGCAAATTACATACCATAAAGATTCTTCCTGCAGCTTCAATGTGAAATATTATACCACATTCAGAGGAAAAATGGTGTGATCCTAATGTCATTACTTCACTGATTTTATTTTTTTCTTTATAGGGACGTAAGAATATGTAGAGTACAGTTTCATCTGTTGTTTTACTTTATCAATGGTGCATAGTAGAGTTATTCAGTCAGCTGAAGTGAGATTCCACTCCAGTCACTCCAGCTCAGCTCGCTGAGACGTCTAAGTTCAACAATAGTAATGGGCTCTGCGAACGAGCTGTGTGATGCTCTCTCTACAGCAGACGGTGTGAAGTGTAAAAACAAATTAAATTCTTGGAAGACATTAAAAAAAGAAAAGATATATTTCTACATACCATCGGACCTGTAGCAACCGATGGTAGATACTGTATGTTCTTGGCGCAGGCAAAGCAGAGACTAAAACAGAATGTATATCCTGGCAGATCAAGAGTGAGAGACAGACAGAAACCTGACCTGGTGTGATCAGGCAAGTCATCCTTTGAGAGTATTTATCTTAACATCAGAACAGATAGCCTTATAAAATGTAGCAACCAGTTTAATTACTAATGCTTGAAGGTACAATGCCTCCATTATCTTACTAGTAAATTATCTTTCCTAAATAAAATAAACGGGAATATACTGTGCAATACTGTTTTATTATGAGTCTATCCCTATTGTTCTACTGTGTCCTTATTAACTTCCATAACCCCCGATTGCTGAAAAGCACAAAGAACCTCCTGTGCATTTGGGTTTCACCTTTTTATATCTTATGTATCCAGCCAAGCTACTCAACTTTTGAAAATGTCCAGGAATTGAGAATGAAGACCCCAGTCTCCAATTCCTGAAATTCTGTCATGGAAAGCAATAGGGTTATGAGGGTGACTGCCCTCTGCCCTGGAAATTAGAGACATTGGGAGACCCACTTATGATAACACACAATTGTGGGAATTCACAGTGGACAAGATGCCGAGACAGCCCTGTATATGAGTGCTCCATAGCAACAAGATGCCATCACGTTTGTTGAATTTCATCATAACAACAACACTAAGCTACTTTGAAGCATTGGTTGATGTTCTTTTTCTTCACTAATTACCTCTTACATATGTATAAACAAAGACACAATATAAGGATACTTATGATCTAAGTTGTTCCATATTCTCTGAAGCCAGGGGTTGTCTGGCTGTGTGGTTGGTGCATCCAGTCCCTCAGTGGCTGTCTGAAAAAAAAATGTATAAAAGGGCTGTTAGGAGACGTAGACAAAGACTAACTGCTCTGAGCAGTGAGTCAGGAATGGAAATGAGTGTAAAGTATACCTGACTTCAATAAGTGATATCTAATGACCTTTGCTGAGATACCCTGGTTGTTTCATGAATAAGAAAGCCCAATTCAGGACAGGTACTTTGGTGGCACAAGTGGCCTATGTGCAGTCTGTCTCAGAGAAGGAATACGCGTGAACCCTCAGAGGAAGCCTTTCAATGCACTATTGCACTTTACATTAGCATTTGAAAAGTCTGTGGACTCAACTCAATAGATTTCATCTCCCTTCATCAAGATATCATACTTTGCTGTCTCCACTGATAAAGCCATTAAGACATAAAAGCTAGCAGAATAGTTTATGCTGCTCTGCAGATAATGATCGAATCAAGGTCAAACAGGCGGATGAAACGGAACAGAGGCTCAAAAACCCCTAACAATTTAGACAGGAATCTCCGCTACTGGAAGGACAACAGGACAACTGAGAGGACAACATTTAAAACAAAACAGACAGCATTTGCAGTGATACTTCAATTGAGCGTTAGGACTTCTTTCATTTTTTACATAATGACAATATGTCACGTTCAGAGCATTTCTCAAATTACAATAAACAGAAAGCCAAATTCATCTAATGTATATACACACTTATGTTCACTCACTAAAATACATATGAATTCCACTTTTTAAGCTGAAATATTTACCATATTGGTATGAGGTCACATATTACAAATGTTCTAAAAACATATATACAGTATGACCCATATTTTACCTGATAAGAAAACTCCACTTTCATATCTTCATCAGGATCAACATCCACCCTTTTAAAAATAAAATGTAGACAGGTCAGTTGTGAACCCATACATATACTCATACCTGTAGGTCAATTGAAGGATTTTAGAAAAAAACAGCAAAATAAAACACTCACAATATTGTGTTTTATGTCAGAAAGGTATTCAAGATTGGTGGCTTACTCAATAGTATTATGGAAACTGCATGATATGGAGTCAATTTTGTGAATTAGACCTGGGTGGCATGTTAGCACATTGGTTAGCATTGCTGCTGTGCAGTGCTGGGGCCCTGGGTTAGATTCCTGGGGTGCTATATGTCTGAAGTTTGTATGTTCTTCTTTGGTTTGCGTGGGTTTCCTCCAGGTGCTCCAGCTTCCTCCCACAGTTCAAAGACATACTGGTAGATTAACTGGCTTCTGGGAAAATTGGCCTTGGATATGAGCGTGTGTCTGCTCTGTGATAGATTTGCGTCCCCTCCTGGGTGTACCCTGCCTTGCGCCCATTGCTTGCCGGCACTGGCTCTGGTTTCCCCGCAACCCTGGAGTGGAAGAAGCTGTTAGAAAACGCATGGAAGAATGAATTAGCCCCCAGGAGAGCAGACCTCCATGGCCAAGTTCATTAGACACCAACCTGCTTCAAGCAGCTGTGTCCTTCTAGCACACAAGCCGCCTTGGGCACACACTTCTATATAGACCACATGTAGAATAATTATAATAATAATAATTGCTTACACTTATATAGCGCTTTTCTGGACACTCCACTCAAAGCGCTTTACAGGTAATGGGGACTCCCTTCCACCACCACCAATGTGCAGCATCCACCTGGATGATGCGACGGCAGCCATAGTGCGCCAGAACGCTCACCACACATCAGCTATCAGTGGGGAGGAGAGCAGAGTAATGTAGCCAATTCATAGAGGGGGATTATTAGGAGGCCATGATGGGGTAAAGGCCAGGGGGGAAATTTGGCCAGGAAACCGGGGTTACACCCCTACTCTTTTCGAGAAGCGCCCTGGGATTTTTAATGACCACAGAGAGTCAGGACCTCGGTTTTACGTCTCATCCGAAGGACGGCGCCTGTTTACAGTATAGTGTCCCCGTCACTATACTGGGGCATTAGGACCCACATGGACCGCAGGGTGAGCGCCCCCTGCTGGCCCCACTAATACCTCTTCCAGCAGCAACCTTAGTTTTTCCCAGGAGGTCTGTAGAAGCCATTCTCCACCCGTATCTGTTACCCGGATCCCTTTTGCATGTGTGACAAATATGATTGTTTTACAGCGCAGTTTTCATTAATTATTTGAATCGGCACCTTGAATATGCTGGTTCTCCCAGTCAATAAATATAATACTAGAAAACTGCAAGCAGTTTCAAAAGCTTCCAAGTAAGAAACAGTATCATGAAATACTACAGAACCACGTGATCATAACAGGTATTGTACAGTACCAGTTGGCAGTGTAATTGTAACTATAATGACTCCAAGTTTAGAGTAAACTGTTTTGAAAAAGAGAAGTTAGCACTACGGGGTACATTTTGCTAAGCAGGTGATGTCCCGTTGTAGGTGCACAATGTGCTTTAATGTGATTGAGTGTTCCAGGTTTCAATTCAATTGGTGCTGTGACTCCCAAAGGATACATGGTTTGAAAGCAAAATTGCATCCAGGCTAACATCTTGGTTTCAGCAGGAATCTGTAATTGCCACTATAATGATATATACCAAATATTGAGTTAATTCACCCAACAGGTTTTGCTCAGGAGTATCAATAACTAGAGAAGAAAACTGGTCAGGTGGTCATCCTGCGTTAAACAGGAACCCTATTTTGCTACAGTGTAATTGCATGGTTATTAGAATCATACCAACCAGGCTTGGGGCTGACTGGCCACTTTTCAGGTGGATTTCTGCCCTGCGCAGGCTGGAGCCAGGTCTAGCATGGTTAACACAAATATTGATCTGCTCATTCTCTCAAGCAGCAGCTATCCCTTAACAAGCACCTGTAATCAGCTCTTCTTCCTGAGACGTCAGTAAGCTTTTTCATAGGTGGTAGTCAATTAGAGCACAGCTGATTACATACATATTTCGGTGGTATGTTTCTGCACACAAAATTGAGTACAAGAGTACAGGGTGAAGAATTGTGTAATTATTGCTATCCAGCTCAAGAAGTTAAAAAAAATGTTCTTTGGGGTCATTTAGTTATTTGTTGTTCCAGTATTTGCAATTTGGAGTATCGGTAACACTCAACCAAGAAGACCTATAATGAAAATGTGACCACTTAAATGTAATGTCAGTGTGTGTCGGATTTTAACAATTTAGAGCAAGGCAACGTGTCAGTGTGAGAGCTGCAAATGAACAAGTAGAGGTTAATTCCATGCTGAAAAGTTCAAGAAACAAGAAAGAAGACAAGAAGTCTGCACTGCTGAAATGAGCATGGCAGTAAACTCTGCTGGTGATTGCAATTGATTTAAACTATTTCAGGATAAGAAAGCCTTTTCTCAAAGCTTGTCTTTTTAGCTTAATGTCTTCTGGAACTTTTGGAAAATCACAGCTTAATACATTTGTTTTTAAGATGTCTGCCTAACTTGTGTGGAAGTGTGCCTTTGTGACAGGAAGTGGAAACAAGAATGCAGTAAGTTTTTTAATATTAGCGAGTGTGAGTGTGGGGAGGGAGTGGAACGCAGAAGGCACTGTCCCCTGAGTTCAGATTATTTGGATACATTCCAGGAAAAGCATATGAATTTAACATTTCAAAAATAAAAAGGAGCTTTTTCACTGCTCTGAGGGTGGTTTTCTACAAAAACCATTAGACATAAATACTACAGCACAGCTGTGTGAAGGTGCTGAATGAACATATACTGCAGATATTTGAATACCTTTTTTGCTTATTGATTCTGAATTAAAAATTAATTGAATGTTTAAAAAGATAAATTAAGAGTGGCTAATACAGAAACAAAAAAGTAGTTATACATTTTGTTCCACAGGAAGTAGGGGATTTTGTTTTGTTCCAGGGGGGATTATGGGTGTTTAAACACAGAATCATAATTAAATCGACTCCAGCGTGTTATGCAACTAAGATATAAGATATACCAAGTGATGAAAAATAAATACCCTGCACAATTCTGCAGTCTGAACTGTGGAGGAGGATCGAGCCAAGTGTCATTCTTAGCTTGGAACCTTAGCTGCTTGTTTAGACAATGCATCTGTATAGCAATTATACTGTTTTGAGCATCACTTAAAAACATGTGCAGGCAGAGAGTGCTGGAGCTTCTCAGATTGCTTCTAGGTATTCCATCAGCTGTGGGTCTAAGTTTACTTCCAGTGAGGGGCCGAGTGATGAATCTTTGATCAAAACCCTGCTTAGAGAGTGTTTTCATTTAGGAACAAGGAGGCACCAACAAGAAAAACACAAGCACCTCCCTCACTGGAAAGGTTCTCTCTCAACAGGAAGGAAACGAGGGCTCATGTACCCAAACAGAGTTTTCATGTATCCAACAACATCTCTTGATAGGTCTGTGTGCAAACACTGACCGAAACAAAAACGTTCAATGTCTTCACATATTAAGCTAATCAAGAAAAAAGGTGTCCAATAATAATTCTTGTTTTAGAATTACATCTCAATAGTGAACTATAGAGCAGCTTATTTTGGGGGATGCTTGGCAAAACAGGACTAACTCTCTCTCCATTTTCTGTAGTAAAAATGAAGACAAACTGTGTGAAAATACAGTTTATAGCTACTGCTCTCTTGTGTGGCTCTGGCTGGCAGCCATCTGTAACTCTGTTTTGTGTCACAACAGAGAAAACTCTCTCCTCAGATATTAAATATTTTATTGTGGTTTTTAATAGATGTGTCACTCTTACATTAAACAGGCCTTTGAGATTAAGCCAGCAATTTAAAACAGGGTTGCAAAATTTAAATTATGTACAAAGATATCTGTTTATGTGTAGCAATAAACCTGAACCATAATCATGAAAACCAGTGATGTGGACTTAGACTCCTTTCACTTTTAAAATGCTATATATCTTACCCATCTCCTTCAATGCACCCTCATTATAGAAAAATATTCATCATTCCATCCATCTCATTTAGAATACCACAAAAAGCACTGCTTAGTGTACTTTAGTAAAAACTCAGATCATGTAACCCCTTTGCAGAAATCATCTGTTAATTATATTCTATCTCAGACATTAATGTCCCTTCTTTCTTTTCCATTTTTGCAGATGGTCTGCTAGAACCTCCAGTACTTGTTTTTTAAATGTGACCAATCACAGAATGCCTGGGAGTGGGAAACAGCTGTGTGTTTCTTGTGGTGTATATAATGAAAGTACACACTGAGAAATAAGACGGGATAATGCACAAGGCAGGATGTTAACTACCCTGACAAAACCTGCAATAAATGATGTAGCATTGGCAATAGGTTTTGTTTAGCGCGAGATAACCGGCAGACTTTTTAAATCACAATAACTGTTCTTGTGTAATTGCTACGAGCAGCGATTCAGTTTTGAAAACCCTCCCATCAATTCCCAAAGCTGTTTGTGCTGTGAAAAGCGATGTGTGTCAGCCTTCTAGTGTGTGGAATCAGGTTGGAGCCAGGGGTTATGCCACCAGCTGACTGTGACCAAGGCTGCCCAAGCACAAGCACACAACTGGCAGAGTGCCCTCAGGCCAGAGAAGGGATTAGTCAGTCAGGGCTCTCACTGACGAAACAGCGACCCATGGGACTTCTTGGGTGCCTATAGGTTTGTAGCTACTGTACCTCAGTCCAGGACTCTCCTGAGATTGGTGCCAACACTCCACTAAGGCACTGCAGAGCTGGCAATGTGTCATTTTCCCTGTGTAAAGCAGGAGTTGTTACTGTGATGAGCTGAGACGCAAAGAAAGATTCCAAAATCGAGTGAGTATAAAATTAAAAATAGAAAAAAAACAGTTAAAGGGAGTATGTCTCACTGGTATTTCTTCACTTTTTCTCTTCTCGAATTATTAAACCTAGCTCTGTGCCATTGCTTAATCTCTTCAGCATGTTTCTCAGTACTGGTGCAGCAGGCAGCCATTTCAGGTTCAGAAGATGTGTGAAAAGTAAGAAGCTTTGTTCTTTCTCTCATTCCTCAAAGGTTCAGACCAGTTACAGCTGATTACAAACACTGACTAAAATTACTAGTTCTGCTTTTTACAATCTCTACTTTGCAAATGAAATTGTAATTAATTCACCTTGCTGCTGGCTGAATGAAAGACCCTTTAGTCCCATAGGGACAAAACACAATTACTTATATATCTGGCCTCCTGTTTTATGTTAGAAACACTTGTGGAAGCTTTGTATAAACCGGTGATTCTTATATCATACATAAATCGTGTCAACCTTGTGGCACCTCACAAAAGACTGCTTCGTCTACATATGATACAAGCACGTGTGCATAGTAATTTTAATTACAAGATTAAGAAAGTCCCACTACCAACCCAAAAAAGCAAAAAGTCACCAAGTAGCTCATGAAAAAAAGCAAACACTGAACACTGGAATGTAGGTTAAATTTGACTAACGGGAAATAAAAAGACTAAAAAATCCTTAGAATTTACTGGTTTATGGTGTGTAAATGATTTAATGGGCAAACTCACTAACACATTTGTTTTTTTTTTCTAGAAATCCTTTCTGAATAAATGAAGGATATTCTGAATATTAAGTTATAGGCTGGCCTCTGATACCTGCACAATTAAACAGCAGAGCTACCATGGGATCTTGTGTCTTTCTGACAATTGTACCCTGGCAGGAGTTCAGTATGCAGTACACTGCTTGTTGAACAAGCTGTGCCAGAGCAAGCTACTGTTAGTTATCAGGCTCTGTGCTTGTATGTGAATAATTAAGATAGAGTTATGTACTTATGCATTTTTTTCAAGATGAAATAAACTGGACTTGGAAACACAGAGGATAAATTAATTTGAGAGACTGAGACTGATATTTCATTTTTCCATGGCTAGAAAATCTCCACATCCTTATTCAAATAAAAGTCTTCCTCTGCTTTTATTTATACTACTTCTGTCTTTAGACTTTAGAAAAGCTGTGGTGCAAGTTGAGAGCGCCTTCATTTAAGTGAAATATATTTTCCCCATCAAATAAAGACATTTTTAGAATATAAAATACCAATACATGCATTCTTTAGCATTATTCATTACCTTCATGTTAATCTTTTTACTTGAATTTTACTTGTAGTAATGAATGAGTTTTGTATGCATTAATTTTCTTTAAACAGAAGTCTTTACAAAGTCATGCATTTTGTATCATACAGTGCCTTAAGTAAATTCCTGCTTCCCATTCACATTCTTAAATGAAAGAGTGTTCAATACATGCAGAGAAATAGCAAATAGACATAAGCATGGTTAAATATACAACATACGTACAGTAATAGTTATTATATTAGTGAATAAACTAGTTTTAGAAACAGGGTTATTCTGCTAGTAGAAGATTCTGATTTTCTCAGCATCATGCTATGTGACATCTTAGATCAAAAAAGTTAAACTTGGTTGAGTGTGTGCAGGTTCTTCATGCAAGAAAGTATGTAAGACCATGTTTTTTTTCTTTTTGTATCACCAGGATGATGACATACGATTCTAAACCACACAAATTATACAGCACTGATGCTTGTTTAACAGAAATTCTGGGAAAGCCATGAATTATTTAGATCAGCATCAACTGTTTAAAAATGTTCAGACTGGACACAAAGCAGCAGTTTGGTGTTCAAACTTAGACTATGTATCACAGCAATAAAAACAAGATGCTGTATATGGCATGACAAACTAAGGCTTGACGTATTAAGGAATTCTGGCTGATATATTACCAACAATCTCTGAACATATTGCTAGATACGACTGCCGTGAAAATGAAAATAACAAAAAATTTGAAAGGTAGAATAAGTACATGCTAAAACCACAGCTCAGAAACCTGCTAAGCCTTCAGGCAAAAAGGAATTTGTATTGTTTTTATGACAAATGTATATTGCATTTTTAAATTAAATTGTTGTAAAGGAAGATTGCACTGTGTCAGATAAATAAATCACAAAATATTTTGTTATATCCTACACTGGAATAAAAACCCCAACAAAAGCTGTTATGTCAGACACACTTAAAAATAATGTGAATAATTTCTCCCTACAGTACCTAGTGGGCATGTTACTTAGGCAGTGTGCAGCAGTGGCTAAGGGTCTGGGCTCATAACTGGAAAGCTGTGGGTTCAACTCTCCATTGGGACATTGCTGTTGTACCCTTAAGCAGGGTACTTCACTCAGACTGCTCCAAAATACACTGCTGTACAGTTGGGGACAATTGTATGTTGCTTTGGATAAAGGGGTCAGCCAAATAAACCAAATATATTCTTTAACATTCCTGCTACAGCTTGAATATTCAATGCAAAGCCACTGGCTTGTGGAATCTGCACTGGCAGTTCTACAAATCTTGAACAGCTCAACTAAAAATTATACAGTACACCTTAGAAGGAAAAATACACAATGTCTGTTTCTCTGCTGGATCACTCCTGTTTACCTGTGTCATGAAATGGGAGAGCAAAAGGGAAGAAACTATGAAGGGTGTGTTAAACCGGTCATTACACTTAATCCGGATGTCACCACTGGTTTTGATTACTCTACAAGCTGTGTCAATAACGGGACAGAATGTTTCTATGGGGGGGAATCTACAGAAAAGAAGACTGAAACCAGCATTACCTGTCAGCTTGGGTGTCAGGTAGTCACAGTAGTGGAGATGAGGTGCCCCAGGCAGAGAGTGAGTATTTGCCTTCGCTCTCATGCTATTTGTGTCTTTTTTTTCCTCGAAGTTGCTGTGAAACTAATAGGCTCTATTCACTGGAGGGTCAGGGGTAATTACTAGCGCACCAGAGCTTGGCGATATAGAAGCCTTCTGCCTGTTGTCAGCTTCCTCACGGGAGCTTGTTACCCACCCCTTTGTGATTTAACAATCCAAAAAAAGAGAGATGAACAAAATGGAGAAAACCATATGGAACAAATCCACTATAACTGCTGAGTAAAAGCAGTTTATACGGTTCACATCATAAGATTCTAGGATAGAATTAATTTAGGTTGGTGAGCAGAAGAGAAAATGCAGCTGCTGCCTTTATTTTTGCAGGACGATATCACATTTGCAATCTGCTTTCACGTACAAACTCAGAATTCTCAGAAACAACATTACAATCTGATGAGGTTTAAAACATTCAAGGCATAGTGTGTAGATGAGTTCACCCTACTGGCCTTCTTATAAGGCCTTCTTGGCATGACACGATTTCTTTTAATATACCTTTTTTTTCAATAAAAACTCTAAAACTACCAAAAAAGGCACTAAATAAAATGTGACATCAGCTTACAACAGGAAAGGAGTCAGAACTTTGAACAATGAGTGTCAGAGAAATGAGCGCCTTAGACACGAGACGAAGCCACAATAACTGTTTACTTTTCCATGTTGTCAAGGCAGGGTTAACCCTGGGGGCTTACAGTCACCAACATACTGTAGAAGCCATACGCTGCTGTCTCGAGTCAAAGCTTTGATAAAAAAATACGGTATTGGTATAAATCAAATATGAAATGTAATGTTTCAAAAGATCAGTACCCTGACATTGGGTATTTGAATGCTTTGTAGTCAACCAAGGGGAAGTGACGCTACTGTTAAAGCCTGTTGTCACATATTGCTTATTGTATTGCTCTATTGTACTCCCGGCTTTTAAACTCTGCAACTACCTCAGCATCTAGTAGGCGTTAACCTGCTGAATCCAAGTGACGGCACCACTGGAGCACCACATATTGGAACTGTGGGTGTGTACGGACATCTCAAAGCACCAGAGGCTGCATGAAAGGCAAACCAACACTAGCAAAAGACCTTTTAACAACAAGGTGTTTAACACGACACTGTTACACCTTAACTTTACACCACAGATGTTGGCACAGAACCATGTAAGCAGTATAATAGTTCTTTGCTTAAACAAAATATATTATTTTTGATGCGCTGTGCGCAATCCAATAACCATCATAACTTGTCCTTCTCTTGCATACTGTATAACCTTAATTTGCTATTACAGTCATCTTGAACCTTAAAAATGCGGAAGTTGGTAGTTTCTTTATATGTGTGCCATCCATTTTGCAATACTGTATCAGTCATGCTTCTGCACTGCAGCAACTTACATTTCTTCTGTAATGTCCATTGTGATACAATTGTGATACTTCAATGGGGGTGAAAAAATAGATTTACTTTTACAATTATACCAACCCCTGATGACTTTTCTAAGCTAGGCAGTTTTTGTTTATGAATTAACTCATCACCAAAGCACCAGACAGTAGTCTACAATATATGCTTAAGTCCTCATTGATGAATGTATGGAACAACAGTTTAACTGCTTTATCATAGTTCAATATCTACAAGCGTAGAAACCAGCATGGGAAAAACATTTTTTACACATGAAAACATAACACTGTCCTAGATACAGTACTGTATGTATTTTTGATGTTGGTTTTCACTACTGAAAAACAATGTGTCCGATTATCATTTTGAATGCTATTTTTTAATAAAATGACCATAGTAGGTAACACCACAACATTCTAATAATTGTAAACCTTTCATAGTCAGTTTTCTTTGTTTGCACTTATAGTTGAAGCAAAAACATAGTAACATTCAGCCCCATTTTACAGGTCCATTCTATTCTGACTTGTTTATTCTAAACAGATATGACGAGGCAGAATGTTTTGACTAATTCAGATGCCTTTTCTATATTTATTTCTATCTTTCATAGCTAATTTGCCAACAGTAAAGCATCATGGATGTCCAGCTGGTAAATGAACCTGACACCATCTCAGTCAGAGACAATAAAGGTAATTTTTTTCACACGAAATTCAGATCAAATTAACCACTCCTGCCACACCTATAATATTCTTTTTAATCCCCAGGAAGTTGTACAATCGTTTGCCCCCTGAGCCCAAGGCAAGGAGCTTCATCTCTGGGGAGAAACCAGTGACTCAGCTCTGTTTGTTACTTGAATTCTCAGCTCTGTGTCTTGTAGCACTTACCAGCACCTTTCTGTTCCTTCCTGACCTCTTAACCAGTGCATCAACTATCTGATACACAGCCGATAAAAAATTAAAGATACACATTAATTATTAAGAACTGGAGATATTAAATTGATTTTAATGCACTGGGATCACTGCTTTGCTCAAGGCTAACCTGCCTGTCTGAGGTGCATGCCCCACTGGGCTTTAAAAACAAATCAGGTCCATCTGCTCCTCTTTCGCTGACCTCCAACATTCTCTGGCCAATGCATAAGGCTGGAGTCAGAGCCAACTTTAAACCAAAGAGGAGTCAGAAACTTTCTGTATGCTATTCCAGACTGTACGCAGAAGAGCAGATGTCCACTGACAGGCCTGCCAATTAGTTTTCTTTGCCCGTGAGACATTGTATTCCTGGTTGCTAAAGCACACAAAGTATCAATGGACAGACTGCTCATCAGGAAGTTGGACTTCATGGGGAAACTGCAGTAGTTTGGTGATACGTGAGATTAATGAATATATGGATGATATAATAAAATTCAGAAACTGTGATTGTTTTTCTTGACTACTGCTGACTTATGCTCATGTTGCAAAATGTTGATACCAATACAAAAATATTACAAAAGCACAGAGAATCAGTCCAAATATATTTGTTTACTGTAATCTGAAGTCCCTTACTGATAGATTTTTAACGAACCAAGATTCTCAATAGAATGTATTTATAGAGCTGGGCGATGGTTAACATGAGACTTACGTTTCAAACCTTACGCTGTTTATTTCATGCCATAACAAATGAAATCAATAGCCAGAAACAGCAACCAAATTAAACCCTGCATAAGAAAAAAGATGAATCAGACTAGAGACAGGGGAATCACACTGAATAAGGGAAAATTGAAGCACAAATTAGAGTAAAACAATCTAGTTTTGTTTGCCCTGTATTTTTGGAGCCTGCAGCCTGAAGATTTTCCAAGTCCAAATCTTTCATTTCCTAATTACAAAAAAATGTTAGAAGGTTTAGATGTCAGGGGGAAATTAAAGATAAAAAGGTCAATATAGTTCATGTAAAGAGCAACCTTCATTATTGACATTTGTTACTTAAGGAGAGGAAAGCACAGGCTCTTGTGGCTATTGTTATTATGTGAAGTGAGCTATTGATGCTGAATAAACTGATTAATTTATTCAGTAATACAGCCTGTAACCATTATTAACTCGAGAGTAAAGGAAAATTATCCAAGTATACTGTATATCAGCAGTTCTAAGTCTGCTAATTAGGCTGATTTTGGCTGCTTCTAATTTAGGCGTGCATTTGTGGAATATACTGTAGACTTTAGGAAAAAAAACAAATATTGCCTAAGAAAAATAAAGAATGGTTCAGAGGTGGACTGGTATTTCTGATTTGAAGGCCACAGACAGCAGTGATACTGAAAAAGTTTGATAACTGAATTGAAATAACTAAATTCTCCACTTAAAAACCTCAAATTGAATGGTGTTGTATATTTGTTTAAATTAAATACATTGGAATTTCTAGAAAAATAAAGGACTATTTTAAAAAATCTTTATCCAATAATAAGAAATGAAGATACTTGCATGGCAACCGTATATATTTGTGTATTAACAAGTTCAAGTGGAAAGCTACGTACTTGGCAAAATGCTCTAACATCTTCTGGCTCAGTCTCTAAAGAGTGCCTTTTAATTGCTGCTGAACTGCATTCAAGTGAAAGGCATTCATGCTGGATTTTATTAGCACTTAGGAATTTCACTGTGATTTCTCATGTTTTCCTTTCTTCTTGTGTGAAATGCAGCAGCAATAAAATGCAGCTATTTTAGATGCATCTAATGCCACCCCCATCTGTTATGGAGACACAATGGTGTCACTGAAGACACACAAGGAACTTTGACTGAAAATCCAGTGGTTAGCAAGAGACAAGTTTAATTTGGTAATTCATTATGGCAGCTCAATTTCACCTTTATACAGGAAAAGCAATGAGACAAAACGAGTTTCTTAAATGTGAATATCTTGAACACACATAGGACTATATGATATAAAAAGAAATAATATTCAGAAGCTTTTATGTGTAGTGACTGCTGTAACTTGGAGTGATGTTGTCTCATGGTTCTTAGTACAATGCCTTTACACAAAGATGTCTGATGGAAAATGTAGCCTTCTTAAGTCCTTAAGAAATTGTTATACTGTATAGTATAATATAATATTTCACTGTCTAGTACATTGTCACGAATTGTGTTCCCATAACATGCAAGAAAATAAGCAGAGTAGATCTTCTGCTGCTCAGAAATGAGAGATTTTTATTCCTAAAATGAGAGATATGGAAAAGGGGTGAAGGTGAACATCTCTGAAACCAACGGCACTCATGCTGTGCTTCTCAAGACTCACTTACAAAACTTGGAAGAATGACCTTGCGTTGTTTGCTAGCTGAGACATGAACATATACAAAATCACTCTCACAAAGTCAATTAGAGATTACACTGGGCAAATACAGTAAAAGTAATGGTAAGGTGATCAACAGAGGTCTCCCGTCCCAAACAGCAGTTTATTCGATACGACCTTCTTCTTCTAAATCTTGGGATTTTCTGTCTTGTGTTCTTAAATAAAAATCTCCTTCTCAGACATCACAATGTCGCTCTGATTAATAGTGTTAATTTAAGAAGCTCTTCTGTTAAGAGTGTCGGTGTCAGAGGAGGAGCCAGTGTCCCAGGTGCACACACTCTTCGTGGTTAAAAAACCCAGATGCTTGTTTCGACACTGCATGCAATTCAGGCATTTAGCAAATGGGTTTGTTCTCTTTCTTTCCAGACATGCACATTTGTTATTAATTTATAAGGATTCTACAGAAAAAGAGTCAGTAGATTGAAATTACAGAACCAAAAAGGAAAAAAAAAACCTGTTGGCACTAAGGGTTACCACAGCTTCGCAGTTCATGCAGGGTGAAGGTACAAGAAATGCTTGGAGCCAAATGGCAAATAGAATCAGGTCTTAAAAATGGGAGAAATTAATATGTCCAGAAATATAAACAGGCGTAATAAAAGCACTAATGAATAAGGGAATGGAATGAGTGGAAGGTTTATAAAGATACCTCACACAGAACAAATGAACGAGTCACAGAGACTAACAAAAAAACACTGTGGATTTTATTTACAAGTGGAACATCACTTTAAGGGAAACTGACAATGAAAGGCGAGAAGTGCTATTATAAGCCCCTTTCTAAAGTAAGAGAGGAATGTTTCTTGTGAGGGGAAAAAACATTAACAATGCAGAGCTATCGTGAAACACCTTGAAATGCTTCTAAAGCCTTGTGCTAGGTTGATCTGCTTTCTAGTTTTCTGACATTGTTCTTTCCAAGACTCCCAATCAATGGAAACCTCATCCTCAGAATCATGCCATATATTTCAGATAAAAGGTCAGATGATAAAAGTCTTCCCTTTATTTCCAGTAATCTGAATTAGTTTCAAAAAGCTTATTGGGTCCTAAAATGTTTATTAGACCAGCCCTGAACAGATTAAAAAAAGCACAATATTATTGTAAAAGCAATACAAAAGCAAATTTGTCAACAGAAGTACCATTGTTTTCAAAACCCTAATATATGTATGTATTTATTTGACAATAATTTACCTATCTACTGAAGCTCTCTGTTACTTGTTTTTGTATTTGTTTGTACAAATTCCTCATTCTATTTAAAAAAAAAGTCTTCCTCATTTCACTGTCAGGGTCTCTGGAGCTCTGCAGCCCTTCCTTTCCTCCTCTGTTAGGAGGCAATTTTATGTATAAAACACATTTTAAAAAATGAAAGTATCGAGATTTTATATCTAAAAATAGAAGAGCTAAAATTAAAGGCGCCTACGAAGACAGAAACCTGACAGAAAAAAATAAAAATCTAGGTGATGAACATCGTTTGAAATCAAAATTCTCAGAAGACTTTTAATTTCCTTTCCTCCAGCTCTCAACTTTCTGTGTTCCTTTTTATTGCTTAAGCTGTAGAGCCGTGGGTGAGAGCTACTTGTTTCAGAGGTATGTGAAATAACTATCTCATCCAGCCATTTCTTTAAAGCAGCCAGGGTACTGGCTTTGGCAACATGCTGGGTAGTTTCTTCCAGACACTTTAAAAAAAAAAGTAGCTCCTGATCTTGGGTATAAATACCCTTCCCTGGAGTGTTTCACTATTGTTTTCTGAAGAGGTCCAATGGGTTATCTCAATGGCCTTGAGGGTTGTGAATACATGAATAAGGTTATTTTAGCCCTCACTGTAGAAAGCTTAGATTCAGTAGAACTACTCTGCCAATAGGCTACCACGGATTTAACCACACCACCTTCAAAATTAATTCTGTGGACTGTATAGATACTCTCACAAAACACGTTCAATTTCAATATCCAGGATCAGCTATATTAGTGGCCTCAGAGATAGCTGATAAAGAAGCAAACATCTAGAGGATATTAAAACAAAATATTTACAGTGGCTCTACGCCTCATATGCTAATCTCCCCTAATAATTATTTATGGAGCTATCCCTTCCTGAGAATGTGTCTGGGTAGTCTCCTCTAAACTGATTCCAAACCAGCAATATATTTTGTAACAGGGTGATTCAAATTGTACATAACATATTAGATAAAGCTTTACTTCTGCCTGCACAAATATTACTCCCCATGATCTAAATTCTAAACTTTTAACTATATATACACAATTTCTGTTTAACTTCCTTATTGGTTCCCTGCATAGTGTAGAAGAAAATGATGTGTCAACATAATCACCTCAGTCTCTTTCATACCTTCTTGATTCTCTGTTTCACATTTTATAGTTATTATTTAGCTCTATTCATGTAATACGTGTTAAATTTAATCTGTCAGGTGTTAGCTCAATCTTAAATCTTAAAATCCATAGTTTCTGCATTTCTTTTGCAGCTTCTACAGTGTTTGTTAATCCCGCTATTCTGATATCAATGGTGAACTTGACTAGTTTACTAACAAAAACAGTTGTTTGACATCAAACTCCATTGGTGCCAGTGATTAATCCCAATCTCCGCAAGGAAAATTATAATCCAATCTCCCATGATAACAATTTATTCCTTTATACATATATTTGTGATTTCCTCATTTAAGTCTGCATTCTAATTGATAGCTGAATTTGCAGACACCATACTGCTAACACTATGTCCTTTGAATTTATGTCAGACCCATATAGATTCTGAGATCCCAGATTCATCTAGATTAAAGTCCTTGTGCCTGAATGCTCTTCTTGATGTATAGTGCCTCATCGCCAACTCTCCTCTTTCCTGTCTCACTGGAACATTGTGTATCTGCTAATGTTGTATTCTTCACCATCACTCTCTATTAACTATGTTTCTGCTATTTCAATCACATTATAATCCAATACAGTGGTTTGTATTTCTTGCAGCATTCCTTATACTCCTGGCATTTAAATATAGGCACTTAATTACACGGTTCTTTGATGTTTAATTTTTCCCCTGGGGTTCTTTTTTTGTTTCTACTTTGCAGATTTTCTTTGGTTTCTCTCCCCTTTTATTTTACTTTAAATCCTTTTG